ACACTAACGCATGTATGCCCATGACAAGCTAAAGCTCCATCAATATAACAGGATGCTGTCCCCTCAGCCAATCCAAAGATATCCCTCCTATGACTTGCCCTTTTGTACATTGATACAAACAAGTTACATGTTATGCTCCTGATGTTATTACACCCTTCTCCTTGTATCCGCTAGTTCAGGAGTTCTCAACCTTTTTCTTTCCGAGGCCTCCCCAACATGCTATAAAAATTCCAAGGTCCACCTGTACCATAACTGGTTTTCTGCATATATAAGCTACATTGCTCAGGGTACGGCTTCAGCCCCGGGTGGCAGGGCTCAGGGCCCTGAGTTTCAGCCCCATGTGGTAGGGCTTCAGCTTTCTACACTGGGCCCCAGCAAGTCTAATGCTGGTCCTGCTTGGCAGCCCCCTAGTTGAGAACCACTGCACTAGTTCAAACAAAACATCCTCATCCCTTATCCTGTCATTCTATCCGTCTCTTATGAGGGATCGGTGTGTTCCTGTACAATTTCCTGGGAATTTGTTTATGTAATTACTTGAGAGATCTGTGTGTCTTTGTACCATCCTCTCTGGTCAGGAATGTGCTTACTTGGTTAGCCAATACTTGGTGTGTTACTATTCTGCCAAGGCTAGGCGTACTTTGGTTTGCAGCCTTTGGTTCACACTGTTAGTTATGTCTAGGGCTCCAGCAAGGCCTACATCCTGGACTTGTCTTTTTTGGCCCAGATAAGCCTGTACCCCTGGTTGAGAACTACTGAGTTAACACAATCCTGAGGTGGCATTAGGAAATGAATTCTCTTTGTGGCACAGCAGAACTCTGTACGCTAAGAGTAAATGTCACCTGGGCAGTAAAGCTCACAGGCACTACATACACTTGCCCAGTGTTTAAACACTGAGCCTAATACCCAACAGAACACCACAGTGTTAACAACCACTTCATTCCTTTTTATAGCCTCTTCACATTTGCACACAGGATACCACTTAAACCAATACATCCCCTTTTCCCCTATCCATTGTTATATTTACAGGCTGCTCTCATGTCCACCCCATTACTGACAATTCCCAGGGCAAGAAAACCCCACTGCCCTGCTACTGACACAACCTACACAATTCTCTATTGAAATTATGCTGACTGCAAAGGCTGAGCTATTGCCAGGCAAACTTAACTCTGCGTTAACTAAGCTTTTTTGCAATTTAATTTCCTAGGTTTTTTTTTTTTAAACAGAAAGAGAAATGTTTGTCTGTTTATGGTCATCTAGGTTTTGTCTACACCACAGACCTTACAGCAGCACAGCTGTACTGCTGCATCTGCGCCACCGTAAGTTCTCCTGTGTAGCTGCTCTATGCCAACGGGAGAGAGCTTGCCGGTCGGCGTAATTAAACCGCTTCTAATGAGTAGCGGTAGCTATGCTGACAGAAGATGCTCTCCCGCCGACATAGCACTGTCCACACTGGTGCTTCTGTCGGTGAAACTTATGTTGCTAAGGGGTGTTTTTTCACACCCCTGACTGACAAAAGTTTTGTCGACAGAAGTGCTAGCATAAACAAAGCCTTAGACAGTTGCAGTTCTCACCTAGGTTTGCAGTTGATATGCTACTGTGGCTAGGTAATAATCAAAAGACCTACTTTTTATATGGTGCTTTTCACCAGTAGATCTCAAGGAGCTGTACATCCCATTTTACAGATGGGAAACTGAGGCACAGAGAAGTGCTGCTCCCCCATCCTGTGGTTTAGTTACAGTGGAATGGGGATATTGACTGTGCTTTGAAATGTTTTTTTCATAGATTCTAGGATTCATAGATTCTAGGACTGGAAGGGACCTCGAGAGGTCATCGAGTCCAGTCCCCTGCCCGCATGGCAGGACCAAATACTGTCTAGACCATCCCTGATAGATATTTATCTAACCTACTCTTAAATATCTCCATTATCTTCCCTGGCACAGAAGTTAAACTAACTGGTCTGTAGTTTCCTGGGTTGTTTTTATTTCCCTTTTTAT